AAATAAATCCAGGACATTCTGAACAAACAGCAGAAGGCTGTACGAGTACACAATGTTCCAAGCAAACTAAGATTTCTATTGTCATTTATGTACTATTGACCTAGATGTTGCAAAAATTAAGGTCACTAATCACTGTCCATAGAGACTTCCAAAATATTTTAACAGCACTTTTCAAGCAAATGTTTCTTTTCAAGCTAATACATAAAAAAAAAAATATGGAGTAAAAATTTTTAAATTTCATTCACTATTTTTAACAGAAGTCTAATCTTCTTAAGGGTATGATATGGTCAATAAGCCAAGGAGAATGTGGTAGACTAAATAATGGCTCCCCAAAGATGTCCATCTTCAAATCCCCAGTGAATATGTGGTATACATGGCAAAACAGACTTTTCAGATGTAATTAAGTTAAGTATCTTGACATTATATATGAACCCAATGGTAACCACAAACCAAAAACCAATAACAGACACACACACACACACACAAAAGGAAGGGAATCCAAGCATAACACCACAAGGGAAAGCCATCAAACCACAAGGGAAGAGAACAAGGAAAGAAAAAAAAGGAACACAGAAGAACTACAAAACAACTAGAAAACAATTACAATAAGTACAAACCTATGAATAATTACTATAAATATAAATGGACAAAATGATCCAATCAAAAGACATAGGGTGATGATTAAAAAGAAACAAGACCCATCTATATGTTGCCTACAAGAGACTCACCTTAGATTTAAAGACACATGCAGACTGAAAGTGAAGGGATGAAAACAGATAGTCCATGCAAATGCAAATGAAAAAGAAAAAAAAAAAGGTAGGGTGGAAATATTCATATAAGACAAAGTAGACTTTAAAACAAAGTCTATAGCAAGAGACAAAGAAGGGCACTACATAATGATAAAGTGAACAATCCAACAACAGGATATAACTTGTAAATGTCTATGCACCCAACATAGGATCACCTAATTATATAAAGCAAATATTAACAGACATAAGGAAAAAAAATAGTATACAATTATAGTAGGAAATTTGACACTTCACTTACATCAGCAAATAGATCATCCAGGTACAAAAATCAACAAGGAAACAGTGGCTTTGAATGATACATTAAACAAGATGGACCTCACAAATATATACAAAACATTCCACCCCAAAACAGCAAAATACAAATTCTTTTCAAATGTGCATGTAACATTCTCCAGGACAGATCACATGTTAGGCCACAAAACAAGACTCAATAAATTTAAGAAGACTGAGAGCATATCAAGCACCTTTTCCAACCAAAATTGGTATGAAACCAGAAATCAAGTACAGGACAAAAACCAAAACACACACACACACACACACACACATACACACACACACACAAATATATGGAGGCTAAACAGCATGTTACTAAACAACCAAGGGATGAATGGAGAAATCAAAAAGGAAATTTAAAAAAAAAATACATGGAGACAAATGAAAATGAAAACACAATGGTCCAAAATATTTGGGATGCAGCAAAGAGGGAAGTTTATAGTGATAAAGGTCTACTTTAGGAAACAAACAAGCAAAAACCTCAAATAAACAACATAATTGTATACCTAAAGGAACTAGAAAAGCTAGTAGAAGGAAGGAAATGATAGTAAGTAGAGTAGAAATAAATGAAATACAGAAAGGAAGAAAGAAGGAAAGAAAGAAATCAAAGCTGAAAAGATAAAGCAAACCGATAAAACTTTAGCCAGACTCATCAAGAAAAAAAAAAGATGAAGGACTCAACTAAGTCAAGTCAGAAATGGAGAAGATAACAATGGGCACCACAGATACACAAAGAATTATTGGAGAATATTATGAAAAATCATATGCCAGCAAACTGGACAACCACAAAGAAGTGGATAAATTCCTAGAGACATATGACCTTCAAAAATTGAACTAGGAATGAGTAGAAAATCTGAACAGACCAATTACTGGTGACAAAATCAAATCAGTAATAAAACAAAATTCCCAACAAACAACAGTCCAGAACCAGATAGACTCACAAGTAAATTCTATCAGATCGAGTCCCACTTTGGGCTCCCTGCTCAGGGAGCCTGCTTCTCCATCTCCCTCTGCCTGCTGCTGCCTCTGTGTTTACTCTCTCTCTCTAATAAATAAAATCTTAAAAAAGAAAAGACATCCAAATTGGTAAGAAAGAAGTAAAAACTGCCACTATTTGCACATGAGATGATATAGAAGACTGTAAGGACTCCAACAAAAAACTATTGAAACTGATAAATGAACTCAGTAAATTTTCAGGAAACAAAAATATATAGAAATTTATTGCATTTCTATAAACTAATAATGAAGTAGCAGAAAGAGAAGTTAAGAAAATGATCACATAAACAATGCACCAAAAAGATTTTAAAAAACTAGGAATAATATATTTGTTATATATATTATTTCACCAAAGAGGAGAAAGACCTATACTCTGGAAATAATAAGACATGAAAAAAACTGAAGATGACACAAACAATTGTAAAGATTTACCATGCTCAATGACTAGAAGAATTAATATTGCTAAAATGTCCATACTACCCAAAGCAATCTACAAATTCAATTCAATCCTTATTAATATACCAATAGCATATTTCACAAAACTAGAACAAATATTCCTAAAATTTGTATGGAACTACAAAAGACCTCAAATAGCCAAAGCAATCTTGAGAAATAAGAATAAAGCTAGAGATATCACAACTCGAGATATCAAGATACACTACAAACTTGTAATAAAAAATATGGGGTGCCTGGGTGGCTCAGTAAGTTAAGCATCTGCTTTCGGCTCAGGTCATGATCCCAGAGTCCCAGGATCAAGTCCCACATCAGGATCCCTGCTCAGCAGGGAGTCTGCTTCTCCCTCTGCCCTTCACCCCACTTATATTCTCTCTCTCACTTGCTCGCTCTCTCTCAAATAAATAAAATCTTAAAAAAAAAAGTGTGTGGTACTGGCACAAATATAAACATAGATAAATGGAACATGATAGAAAGTCCAAAAGTAAATCCACAAATGTATGGTCAATTAATCTATAACAAGGGAGGCAAGAGTATAAAATGTGGAAAAGACAGTCTTTTCAATAAATGGTATTGGGAAAATTGGACAGCTATATGTAAAAGAGCTATATACAAAAGAATGAAACTGGACCACTTTCTTACATCATACAGAAAAATAAACTCAAAATGGATTAAACACCTAAATGTGATATCCAAAGCCATAGAATGCCTGAAAGAAAACAAGCAGTAATGTCTTGGACATCAGCCTCGGTAACATATTTATGGATATGTGTCCTCAGGCAACCAAAAGAAAAGCAAAGATAAACTATTGGTTTAAAAGAAAATAAATAGCTTTTGCACAATGAAGGAAACCACCAACTAAACAAAAAGGTAACCTAGTGAATGGGAGAAGATATTTGCAAATAATGTATCTGATAAGTTAATATCCAAAATATATAAAGAACTTATGCAACTTAACACCAGAAAAAAATAACCTGATTTAAAAATGGGTAGAAGACATGAAGAAGCATTTCCAAAGGCATAAATATCACCAATAGACACATAAAAGATGTTCAACATCACTAGTCATCATGGAAATGCAAATCAAAATCACAGTATCACCTCACAACAGTCAGAATGGCTAGTATCAAAAAAAACAAACAAGAAATAACACATGTTGGTGAGGATTTGGAGAAGAGAGAACCCTTGTGCACTGTTGGTAGGAATGTAAATTAGTGTAACCACTGTGGAAAACAGTATGGAGTTTCCTCAAAAAATTAAAAATAGAAATATCATATGAGCCAGTAATTCCACTACTGGGTATTTACACAAAGAAAGTAAAAACACTAATTCAAAATTGCAGCATTATTTACAATAGCCATGATGTAAAAGCAACCCAAGTGTCCATCAATCAAGGACTGGATAAAGAAGTGAAATATATAAATAATGGAATATTAGTCATTAAAAAGAATGAAATCTTGACATTTGTGAAAACATGGGTAGATCCAGAGGTTACAACGCTATGTGAAATAAATCAGACAGGAAAAGACAAAGATGTGATTTCACCTATATGTGGAATCTAAAAAACAAAACAAATGAACAACAAAACAAATGAACAAACAAATAAAACAAACAGACTCTTAAATAGAAAGAATAACTTGTGGTTGATAGAGGGGAAGCAGGTGGGAGGAATGGGCAAAATAAATAAAGGGGATTAAGAGTACAAACTTCAAGGTACAAAATAAATAAATCACAGGGATGAAAAGCACAAGATAGGGAATATAGTTAATACTATTATAATAATATTATTTGGTGATAGATTGTGACTATACTTATTGTGGTGAGCATTCAGAAAGGTATGGTAATGTCAAATCAATATGTTGTACAGCTGAAATTAATATAGCATTTATGCCACTTATACTTCAATTTAAAAAAAGAAAAAATATCTTGAGATGGGGAGATTATATTGAATTATCTGGGTGGACACAATGTACCATGATCCTTATAAGAAACGGACAGGAAAGTTAAGTGCCAGAGAGGGAACTGATGACAGAAGCAGAGATCAGAGTTATGCAGGGCCACAAACCAAGAAGTGCAAGTGGCCCATAGAAGCTAAAAATGGCAAGAAAAAAGATTCTCCCCTAGAACTTCTACAAGAAACACAAACCTACCAATCAATTTTAGATATTGGACTCCAGAACTATCAGATAATAAATTTGTAGTTTATAGTAATTTGTTACAATAACAATAGGAAACTAATACAGGGGAGCTGTATTTATATATTGTGACACCTTAGAAAAATAAAAGTATTAAAATACTGAGTGAGGCAGGAAGATTTTCCATTTTGAAAGATTCCTAAAAGCCAAATATCCAATTGCTTTGTAATCTGATCTGCCATTTCCCAGCAAACATTCAAAAATCTATTTTATTTCTATATGAAATAGAAAATTTCAAGTCAGAAAATACAAATTTTTTTTTGAAAAAAATTATCTTTATTATAAGGAAAATACACAGCAAAACAGAGCCTGAAGGTGGTGCAGGTGGAATATCTGGAAAAACTTAATCACCAAACTGCTCAAACATGGCTTCCTGCTGTGAGGGAGAGTGATTTGGCCCTTATCTTTTCCACCTTTCCTGATTCAAAGAAATCTGCTTTTAGCAGGGCTGGGCCCAGGGAGCCCCATTTTCCAATCTGTTATCTTCCTGGGAGTTTGGGAAAGGTTATATAGTTCTCGGGCTTTCAAGACACAGAAGACAATATGGAGAAGGAAAAGATGTTACAGCCCTTTGGTCCAGTGTTATCCCCAGCGCCATCCCTCAGTATTTGTTGATGCCAAAGAGACGAACCCCATGGAATTGGGGTAACCTAGGCAGCAGTTCGCTGAGCAATGAGGCTGTGTTGATGAGGAAGTGAGCAGCATCAGATTTGGTGTAGAAGCTGGCCAGGAGGTAGAGTATGATAGGAGAGATGCTGAGGAATTTGCGGGAAGAGGTAAATTGGAGCCCGTAGTCCATCTGTTCCCAGTGTGTCAGTAGCCGAGCCTTTCCTTGGTCAGGGGTCTCAAAGGGTGTCCCTTTCACCGTATGTAAGAAGACATACATAGCCAAGTTATGGATGATGTTGGTCAGGGTCCAGACAACAAGAATGCTGAAGAAGGGGATGCTGAGTAGAACCACATGCAGCAGTCCTACCAAGATGATGTAGGCCAGCCAGATGCCCTGGCTATTCATCACTTGAGTGTTGGGGTTTATTTTGCTGTGTGCCACCCCCACATTCATCCTACCACCATGGGGGATCAGGCAGGAGTCCAACTCAATTTCCTCTAAACCTCTTTTTTAATTTGTTCCCCCAAGTTGTCTCCTGAATAGCCCAGATTCCCTGAACTCTATTGGGAATAAAAGAACTTCCCTGCTGGCTTCAGAAGCCAGTCCGACTCCCAGGAAATACAAATTTTAAGCAACTTTATAATAGCACCTAAAATATCAAATGCCCAGAAATAAATCCAGTAAAATATTTACAAAACTCTACATATGAAACTTTAAAACAATACTGAAAGAAATCAAAGAAAACCTACATAAGTAGATAAATCATAACTGTATATTAGAATACTAGTATTATTATAATTCATCCTCAAATTAATCAAATGCAATCCAAATAAAAATACCAAGGATATTTAAAAGGTGATTTCAGAATTTATATGGAAATGCAAAGGGCCAAGATAGCTCAGACAACCTTAAAATAGTAGGGTAAGCAGACTGCTCTATTGAAAATCAAGACTTACAAGAAGAACAATGGAATAAACAGAGGCCCAGACACAGACCCATACTTATATGGACTTGTAATTTATGATGATGGTTACTTTGCAGAGATCACGTAAATAAAAGGTATTAGGACAAATGGTTATCCATATGAAAAAAAAATGTTTTTAACGTGACCCCTGCCTCATGTGGGACACATAAGTCAGGGAAAATAGGTTTGTGCTAAAGTCAAAATCAATAGTGCTTTTATTTTTTTTTAAGATTTTATTTATTTATTTTTGTGGGGGAAGAGAAAGAGAGAAAGCCCACAAGAGGGGGGAGGGGCAGAGGGAGAAGCACACTCCCCGCTGAGCAGGAAGCCCAATGATGCAGGACTCAATTCCAGGACCCTAAGATCATGACCTGAGCCAAAGGCAGACGCTTAACAGACTGAGCCACCCAGGTGCCCAAATCAATAGTGCTTTTAGAAAATAATTTAAAATAATATCTTCATGACCTTGTATTGAGAAAATATCCCATCCATAAAAACCATTAACTATAAAAGAAATGATAAATAAATTGGACTATATTACAATTAAGAATTGATGTTCATCAAATGAAACTACTAAGAAAATGAAAACGAAAGTCAAAATGAGACTATTTGCAACATATATAAACAGCAAAAGGTTTATTCAGAACATATAAAGAGTACCTCCAAATCAAAATGTAAAGGAGAAACAGTCCAATTAAAAAATAAACAAAAGTCGGGGCACCTGGGTGGCTCAATCGTTAAGCATCTGCCTTCGGTTCAGGTCATGATCCTGGAGTCCTGGGACTGAGCCCCGCATCAGGCTTCCTGCTCAGCGGGAAGCCTGCTTCTCCCTCTCCCACTCCCCCTGCTTGTGTTCCCTCTTTCACTGTGCCTCTCTCTGTCAAATAAATAAAATCTTAAAAAAAAAAAAAAACTTAAAAAAATAGACAAGTCTTAAGCAGGGACTTCACAAAAGAGGAAATTCAAGGCAACAAACATAAGAAAAGGTATTTAAGTTGAGAACTTGGAAAATATGGTGGAGGATTAGGGGACCCTATTCCAACTGGTCCCCAGAATTGAGCTGGATATCTACCAGACAACTCTGAACACCCACAAAATCAGCCTGAGATGTAAGAAGATAGGTCTGGATCTCTACAAACAGAATATCGCAGGTGGTTGGTTTCCGAGGTAGGAAGCGGGGAGCCATGATTCCGCGGGCAAATGTCGGAGGATAAATGGAAGGGTGAGGGAGCCGAGCCATAGGGTTCCTACAAGCCTGGTGAGTGATAGCCTCCCGCGCTGGGGACCGGGCACAGACTCACAGACTGGTAGTGAAAGGGAAAGGACTTTAGGGCAGACCCCTGTTGGAAACCAGAGCGGCAAGGCTGCACCTCTGAATTGAGGACAGCTGGCAGTTTTAGAAGGAAAAAGGCAGAGACGTGCCCCGACCAGGAGGTGAGGACTTGGAGAGCTGCTGAAGGGCACACAACCCAGGTTGCTGCAGTTTATAGCAACACAGACAAACAGATAGTGTGGCCTGGAGAGCTCACTAAAGAACAGACTGCGATCTCTCTGCTCTGAGGCAGAGGATTGGAAACGATCTCTTCTGCTCTGACTCTCGGAAGAGATGCAGAAAGCCACCAGGGAAAGCGGCCAGAGAACAAAAGCCCCAAAAAACCGGTTTTCATTGAGCCCATCACCCGTCACAGGGGGCAGGGCAACTCTGACCAAACAGGGCTGCCTGAGTAACAGCACAGCAGGCTCCTCCCCCAGAAGTCAGGCTGGGAAAACAAGAGGCCAGCAACCCTAAGGTCTCTATTAAACAGGTGCATCTTGCTTGGGTTGTGGTCAATAATTTGGACTCTATACATTACCTCAACCACCCCTCAACAGAATGGCTAGGAGGAGAAACCCCCCAAATAGGAAAGACTCAGACACTATGACTTATGCCACAGATTTACAAATGGATTCAGATATAACCAAGATGTCGGAGATGGAATTCAGGGTAACAATTGTGAAGACGATAGCTAGAATGGAGAAATCAATTAATGGCGACATAGAGTCTCTAAGGGCAGAAATGAAAGCTGAATTGGCAGAACTTAAAAATGCTATCAACGAGATCCAATCTAATCTAGATAATCTAACAGCTAGGGTAAGTGAGCCAGAAGAACGAATTAGCACTCTAGAAGACCAATTAATAGACAAGAAGGGAAAAGAGGAGGCCAGGGAAAAACAACTCAAAATCCATGAAAATAGAATCAGAGAAATAAGTGACACCATGAAACATTCCAATGTCAGAATTACTGAGATCCCTGAGTGGGTGGAGAGAAAGAGAGAGGACTACAAGATATATTTGAGCAAATCATAGCTGAGAACTTCCCTAATCTGGGTAATGAAAGAAACATTCATATCCTAGAGGCAGAGAGTACCCCTCCCAAGATCAAGGAAAACAGGCCAATGCCCCAGCATGTAATAGTAAAACATGCAAATCTTAGAACCAAGGAAACCATCTTAAGGGCAGTTAGGGGAAGAGATTCCTTAAGTACAGAGAGAGGAACATCAGAATAATGTCACACCTATCCACAGTGACCTGGCAAGCCAGAAAGGGCTGGCAAGACATATTCAGGGTACTAAATGAGAAGAACATGCAGCCAAGAATAATTTACCCAGCAAGGCTGTCATTTAGAATGGATGGAGAGATGCAGAGCTTCCAAGACTGGCAGAAACTGAAAGAATATGTGACCACTAAGCCGGCCCTGCAAGAAATATTAAGGGGATTCTATAAAAGGAGAAAGACCCCACGAGTGATATAGAACAGAAATTTACAGGGACAATCTATAAAAACAAGGTCTTCACAGGCAACATGATGACAATAAATTCATATCTTTCAATAATCACTGTCAACATGAACAGCCTAAATGCTCCCATTAAACAGCACAGGTTTGCAGACTGGATAAAAAGACAGGACCCATCCATATGCTATCTACAAGAGACTCATTTTGAACCTAAATACACATCCAGACTGAAAGTGAAGGAATGGAGATCCATCTTCCATGCCAACGGACCTCAAAAGAAATCTGTAGTAGCAATTCTTATATCAGTCTAATTAGATTTTAAACTATAAGACTGTAGTGAGAGACACAGAAGGACACTATATCATTCTTAAAGGGTCTATCCAACAAGAAGATCTAACAATTATAAATATCTACGCCCCCAACATAGGAGCAGCCATCTACATAAGCCAACTGTTAACCAAAATAGTCATATTAATAACAATATGTTAATTGTAGGAGACCTCAATACACCACTCTCAGAAATAGACAGATCATCTGAGCAGAAAATCAACAAAGAAACAAGAGCTTTAAATGATGCACTGGGCCAGATGGACCTCGTACATATATACAGAACATTCCACTCTAAAACAACAGAATACTCATTCTTCTTGAGCTCACACGGAACTTTCTCCAGAATAGACCACATACTGGGTCACAAATCAGGTCTCAACTGATACCAAAAGACTGAGATTATTCCCTGCATATTCTCAGACCATAATACTTTAAAACTGGAACTCAATAATAAGAAAAAATTTGAAAGAAATTCAAACACTTGGAAGCTAAAGACGGTTCTGCTCAAGAATGTTTGGGTCAACCAGGAAATCAAAGAAGAACTTAAACAATTCATGGAAACCAATGAGAATGAAAAAACATCAGTCCAAAACCTATAGCCATACAAGCCTCTCTTAAAAAATTGAAAAATCCTGAATTCACCAACTAACTTTACATCTTAAAGAACTAAAGAAAAAGCAACAAACGATGCCTAAGCCACACATTAGAAGAGAAATAATTGAGATTAGAGCAGAGATCAATGAATTGGAAATCAGAAACACAGTAGATCAGATCAAAGAAACTAGAAGGTGGTTCTCTGAAAGATTTAAAAGATCGATATACCACTGGCCAGACTTATGCAAAAGAAAAGAGAAAGAACCTAAATTAATAAAATTATGAATCAAAGGGGAGAGATCACGACTAACACCAAGGAAATAGAAAAAAATATTAGAAATTATTATCAACAACTATCTGCCAGTAAATTGAGCAACCTGGATGAAATAGATGCCTTCCTGGAAACCTATAAACTGCCAAGACTGAAACAGGAAGATATTGACAACATGTATAGGCCAACAAGATTGAAGCAGTGATCAAAAACCTCCCAAAAAACAAGAGACCAGGGCCTGATGGATTCCCTGGGGAATTCTACCAAACATTCAAAGAAGAAATAATACCTGTTCTCCTGAAGCTGTTTCAAAAAATAGAAACAGAAGGAAAGGTTCCAGACTCATTCTATGAGGCCAGCATGACCTTAATCCCCAAACCAGGCAAAGACCCCATCAAAAAGGAAAATTTCAGAGTGATATCCCTGATGAATATGAATTCCAAAATTCTCAACAAAATCCTAGCTAATAGGATCCAACAATACATTAAAAGGATCATCCACCACGACCAAGTGGGATTTATCCCTGGGATGCAATGGCAGTTCAACAATCGCAAATCAATCAATTTGAAAGAACACATTAATAAGAGGGGAGAGAAGAACCATATGGTCTTCTCAATTGATGCAGAAAAAGCATTTGACAAAATACAGCATCCTTTCCTGAT